GATATGTTTCCCTGGAGGCTAACATCTTATGTTCCAGAATACAGGCTTTCATTAAAAAATGATGACTTGTGAGGAGATGTTCATATTCATGTGAACAGAGTGCAGGTGCTCATCTTCTCTAGTGCCTACAGACAGCCTGAAACAATCAGTGTGACAAACAAACCACCACAGCTGAAACAGCCAGTAGCAACTTCAACATCAGTGATGAGGATTTATTCCTGTTCTTGTTGGGTTTGATCTGCCAGCACTACAAAAACTCTGGGGTCGCTGATCAATGGATGCTCCTAAGCCACCAAGGCCAGTCCAGCGCTGTGATGAACAGTGGCTGATGGTCACTCGAGCTCCATCTCCAAGTTCACCACGCTTTTTGCCCTCCCTCCTCACAGAATGGGTCTGCTTCACTCTGGTGATTTAAGAGCTGCTTCTAATTTCCATCCTAAACTTTCTGCACCAGTTTTACTCAGTCATTATTATGCCAAAAATCTCTTTTTCTTAAATACTTGTGAGCTACCCTGCATATTGCTGTCTCCCTCTTGAGTGCTGCAGCTGTATCACCTCTCAACCTTCACCTCAGCTATGGTGGGACAGGCTGTGTATTCACCTGATCATGGGAACAGCTCTTCTCTCCACCTCTTCCACTTGGAATCACTTTCCACAAACTTTCACCTTCCAATCGAGGGTGTTCCTCATGCCCATGAAATAGCATCAACACTTCATATATCCACCTCTTCTCTTCCTCTCTGAGCACTGCTTGCAGTATTTTCCAGGCACATCACTTTGGCTGCTGACAGACACTCCCTAACTTTGACTGGTCCCCACGTCCTTTCTCACCTCAGTGATTCCCAACTGATGAGCTCTCCGTTTGGAGCAGATCATGTCATTGATCCTGCAGCCTTACCTTGCATGCTGAGTGAACTGCCACAACAGTGCAAACTCCTGCTTTTATTGTTCTTTGTTGCCACGGGGAAGCAGGGCTGTGCTTTGGGTGCTGTGTGTTCAGGAGCACAGAAGGCAGGAGAGATTTTTTTTTTATATATAGAAGAAAGGGAAGGGTGTGAGGAAGTTGAAGGCAGTGCTAAAGCGTCCTGCTTTTCTCAAAAAAACAAAAAAAAACAAAAAAAACCACCCAACCCAGCTAAATTACCCATTTTCTCCAGAGTTATGGCTGCTAAGGGAAAGGAAAGATGAAACTATGATGTTTCTTTCCAGCTGACTGTGAATGACATTCTGCTTTGGGAAGTGTTTGGATTATTGCTCAGCTGAAGTGCTGGGTATAGGTAGCAGTTTCATGTTTTCCCTCTTTGCAAATTACAAGACTGTTTTAGCACTTTTCTTTTGTTATTGGTGTGGAAAATGAATTGATTTTAGGGTAATAATACAAATTCTTCTTAGCCCTATTTTATTATATATTCTAAAATCAATTTTTAGCAGAAGTTTTAATTACACATTACTTTCTTGAAAAGGGCAAAGATGCTTCAGATTGTTGATGGTGCTTATAGACACTTGGTTTCTTTTTAATTTTCTTCCATCCCCATTATCCCTTTGCTGTAACCAATTTCAATATTGCTAAGGAGCTTTCACTCAAATTGACATACATTCAAAACAACTCACTAAAATTAATACATTCTGAATCAATGCCGCTATTTTTATTTTTTTTTTGTATATTTATTAACTTGGAACCTCTGAACCTCATCTAATGGGAAGGAAGAGTCTTTTCATCAGAAGATTTCCTGGTAAATAGCAACAGAAAATGCTTAGTCCTGCTCATTAGTGGATCTGTCTTAGACTTCACATGACATGACTTGAGCAGTAAAGGGTGGGTTTGCAGCTTCAAACAGACACACCTAATGAATTCCTGAGCTTCTCGAATTCCAGAGCTGCCCATTTGATCCTTGTACAAAGATGACAATTGTCTGGATACCCTGATTAACATGGAACAAAACATATTTATGACACTAGTTTATTCTAAGCCTGGAGGTAAAACTGCTTTTCTGCTGCCAAGCAGTCAGCACCCACGGCATGTAATTAGCAACTTCCTTCCACTGGTTTGAAAGATATTACTACAATGTATGCAGATAGTGGGAATTTTTAGGCTAAGGTATTGAAAATTAAACAGAAAATTCTGAAAAGAAGCAATAAATGGGTTTTCCATCTGAAAGCTAGTGGCTTTATGGGGAAAATCCATAAGTGTGGCTGCTTCCTGTATTATTTGCTACAGAATTATTTGCTGAATTATTTGCTACCCTTCACAAGTGAAGGGTATTTTAATAACAATAATGGAAAAATGTAGTTCACTTAAACACTTGAACAGTGTTGGGGTTTTTTTCTTCTCTGAGATAGCCTCTTAGCTGATTACATTTTTGACCACAAGCATTTCTTAAATCTTAGGCCACATTTTTCTCATTACGTAGATGAAACTTGTAAAGAAAACCTTTCCCAGTTTAACAAGTTTCTGATTAATCCAAAGAGCATTATAAATCTACAGTAAGTTTGCCTTTTGACTAGTAGCATTTGTAATAGCTTTAAAAAAGTAATCATGAATTGACTAATAACAGGCAATTGCCTTGATGCTCCTTGTTTTCAAATACCTATCTCAATGTAATGCCTTCCTGCAAGAAAATGCCAACAAAAATAATACAAACAAAAATGAGTGTTTAGTTAAAAGACGTCTCTAAACTATGAAATGGCAGGACTGGATAAAGTATTTATTTATTAATGAAAGAATTGCTATTACAAGTAACACTCCAAACAATGACCTCTCTGATGTGCAGTATAATCAGTCTGTCCATTGTATGAGCAGTTTGTGCAGGGAGCTGTAGTAATGATCACCATACAAAAATAACCAAATTTTGCACAGGTTTTAGCAGGACCAAGAGCTCGTTTGCAGATGTAGAACCATTCAATGACTAGAACTGTTTCTTGCAGTAATTGCCTGAAAGTGGTAAGACCCTGAGACAAAGTGATTCAGTTCATTTGAGGGAGATTGCTGCTGATGCAGAAGGACATAGTACAGATGAAGTCTTGAGTTGGAAGAAAAACAGGAATGGAAAAGGGAGTGTTCACGTGTAGAGGCCAGCAGTAAGAAAGGTAGAAAGCTGAGTTCTTAGTTCATGGTAGAGACTAGCAGTTGTCTAGATGTGTCTCTGTTTTGCCTGTTTTGCCTTCAGTGGGTTTTCTTCCTCCCTAATTTCTTGTCTGGATTTACTACTCATTTTCCTGGTTTTTTGTGAAGTGCTGTGTGCCAGGCAGAAATCTTGGCCAGAAGCGCAGTCAGCGGTGTCTTAAGATGTATTGCTCAAAGAATGGCTAAGACATCACTCCCGGTTCACGCTGCACTGACAGCTCAAGAGCAAAAAACCTGAAAAGTAGCACCAAGAAAGATGAAAGCTGTTAATATTCCTGCCAGGAGCGCTCGGTGCTGCAGCTGCTGACGTGCAGTGCTGCAGCCCTCAGCTGTGAGGTGTCTAGCACATCTCTGTGAGCAGCCAAGTGCTTCGAGGACAAGAACCCTCCGACACGTTTCTGTCCAGGTTGGCAGCGAGAACCTAAAAACAGCTGCTCAGAGAGAAGGGTAGGAGGGAAACCGTGAGTTGGAACTCACAGCCGAGAATTTCAGTCACTTGTGGCCGACTTCCACCCCATGCTTCCTAGCCTGTTGTAGGAAAAATCCATCATCGTAGAGTACCCAAAACAAGATTGTGTCGGGATATTCACCCACTCGAGAGGCTTAATCTGGGAGAAAAACCCTTTCTTGTAGCATAATGAGAAAGCATCAAAATTTCAGATAGACTCTTTATTCCTGGGATTAATAACTTCACACGTAGCAAGCCCTTGTGATAAGTTCTCTTTTCTTCTCTAAGTCGAGCTTATGGACCTTGCACTGTTTTGTAGCTTGAGAAAACAGTAACATTTAGGATATATAGTGTGTCATGAGAATAAAAGAGAGACAAAGAGGAGAAAGTAAATAACAGTATTCCTGAATTAAGAGCTGTAAATTCTGATGTTTGCAAAAGCAATGTTCGGGTGACTGTAGCTTTTCTCCTTTAAGTTTTTGCTTGAGTTAGTCACTGAAAGGAACGTTTGGATAGACAAGCACCGGTGATGGAGTTAATCCATGTATTGAACTGTCAGCCATTAGGTGAGCTAACAATCGCTGGGCAATTGTGAGGTAAATTAGCTAGATCAAGAGGGCACTTGTAAAATTTATTAATTTTATTTCCCATTTGTGAAAGCTAATGCAGTTCAGGCAGGGAATCCTAACTCCCTCACCTGCAGTAATGGAGCAGCTCCCTCTCCAGAGTGAGGGATGCAGGGTATCAGTGAAAAACACAGTGGGACTAAATGTGTTTAACACAGGGTTAGAAAATTCAATAAAGAAAAGCAGCGAGGCTGCAAACACATTAACTGGCATTCTCTCAAGATTTTAACCCTACGTTGTCTTGACAAAATGTAATTGATCTCACGGAATTTCCACCCTTGTGCGCTGCTGCCTTTAGAGCGGCTGGGAAATCGGCCATCCCTGAAGCTGCACCGACAGCGAGGGATTTGGCGGGAGGCTGCGAGTTAAACTTCCCTCAGCGCGTCTGCAGCAGGGGCTTCCTAAACTGGATTCGGAGGAGCGAAAAAAATTATTAAATCATACTTTTATTTAAGAGAGGGATTAAGAATCCCGCTGCTGAGGGAGTGGCGGCTCTCGCGAGGGAGGGGGGCGCCGCAGGTGCCGTGAGGGGCGGACCCCGCGGGCCGCTGAGGGCGGGAGCAGCCTGAGGGCGCGGGGCCGGAGCCGCCCCCGGCCCGGCCGAGCCTCGGAGGAGGGCGGGCGATGTGGGAGGCGGCGCGGCGGAGCCCCCGCCCGCCCCTCGCCGGCGAGCGCGGCTCCTCCTCCGGGAGGGCGCGGCGAGGCTGCCGGGCGGTGCTGCACCCCCGGCGGCAGCCCCGCCGCACCTCCGCGCCCGGGGCGGTTCCGCGCCCACCGCCTGCCGGCGCGTCTCCCGGAGGAGCCTCAGCGGAGGGCACGGACGGCAGCGGGATCTGAGGCGCCGCGCGGACATGTCGGCGGAGCGCGCCCGGAGGTAACGAGCGGGGCGGGCGGTGCCCGCGGGCCCGGCGCGGCGGAGCCGCAAACTCCGCGCTCCCGGCCCCGCGCCCCCGGCGAAGTTGTGCCCGAGCCGCCCTCAGGCTCCCGCTCCGCTGCGGGCACAGCCCGGGCCGGCGGCGCGGCGGGACGGCGCGGCTGCCCGGCGCTGAGGCAGCGTTTGCGGGGCTGTTCTGTGGTGTTTCGTGGGGTTTGGGTTTGTTTTTCTTGTTTGCCGGCGCACTCAGCATCTTCCTGGCGCGATCCCCGCACCATCCCTTCAGTGCCTGGGCTTTTCCCTTTCGCTCTCCTCGAAGAGTTGTTCTGCGCGACGCTGTTGCCCTCTAGTGTTTGCGGCAATGGGTTATGGCTCTGTTGGGGAGCAAAATAGTCAGCCTAGCGCGGTAATTATTCAAACTTGAGGTGGTTAGAGCGGCTTGGATTCCCCAGATCCCCTCAGAAACTGATGTGTGGTGCTGCTCGGTTCAGCTGTCATGTGCAACCCTCGGAAAGTGGTAGAGAACTTATATATTATTCAATTCGCGATGTGCTGGATAATTGCTTCAAGTTTTGGTGTGGTGGGGTTTTCTTTTCCCAGTAAAATGGTAAGTGGAAGAAATAGGGTTTCTCTCACTGTCAGCATCCCCAGTCAGGTATCTCAGAAGGAATGGTGCTGAACTCTGCCTTATTAACTCTTTACACTTGATAATTGTGGGAGAAAAAAGAGGGGAATAGCATAGGCATGGACTAGACAGTGTGCTGGACATTTATCTCAGAGACCTTGAGCAAATCATTGACTCTTTAGATAGCGATGTCTGCAGTTGCTGAAAAATAACGGGGTTTAGAGAAACTGTGTGATGTCAAGAGCTTAAAGATCTTTCTGCACAAAGTATTGTATGAAGGTAGAGAGTAATTTGAAGGCTAAACCAACTTCTGTATTCCCTTGACGTCTTTAAAGTCTTCTTTTAAACTATATTTAAGCATTGTGTATTTATAAATATTTTTCTTGACAAACTATAATACACGAATCCCTATCCTGTGAGGTCTCTAGTACTGCATTAGGCAGTGCAGCATGGAGTTAAGGATATCACAGATACAGTAGAAACTGGGAACTGCTTACTTCAAGGACTTGAAAAAGAATTTCTGTCTACAAGAATTCATGGTGCTGCATAAGCCGTTCCCTTTTTTTTTCTAACAGCTATGAGAGAATGTAAGCTCTTCAACAATCACACATTCCAGGGTTTGTTATGTGATACTAAAGGGTCCCAAAGACTTCCCTTGACAGCTCATGTCTCGTATCACCATTTTTTCAAGTTGAAAATGCCTCCTTAATATGCAATTCTAAGGTCTCATTCTCAGCTTGGATTTACTTATTTGAGCTGTTGCTGCTTGAATGTTTTAGTCAGAAATATAATGCTGTAAGTAGGGGTACTCAGTGTTTGGAGGCTACTTTGGTATTTCTGTAACCGATTTAAAAACCTGAGCCCTGCTGTTCACCCCAGGTGTGGTTGTGTTCAGCTGTACTTTGCTGCTTCCTACCATGTCATTTCTATATCCAAAGATTTCCATTTTAGTAACACTAAAATGACTTCAGAATGCTTCCTTTGAAGTTTTATTTCATGGTGACTGGCCAGAGCAGACCTTTATGTTCGAAGCAGTTCAGCAGCATTCTAATCAGTGGACATGTAAATGTCTGTAGTAGTATTCTAAACAATATGCCTCCTTTTTTTTCTGCTCTTCATTTACAAGTCATCATTTATGTAATGTAACACAGCATATCACCAGCACTGTGGTAGTGTCCAGGTTGGTAAAGAACAGAATGAGAATATAGTGATGGAGGTTATTAGAAGAAAGTTATTAAATTAATTAATGTATTAAGTGTAATATACCTGAATAATTTTGATGCATGTTAAATCTAGAACTAGCTCTTTTTTTAGTAGTTCTTGATCAAAAGGATTTTTGTTACCCTTAAAGAATGTGTTTCTTGCCTCTAAGTTTGACCCAACTTTATTGTTTCTAATCAAGGGTCACAGTGAACAGTTGCCCTAGCACAAGCCTAAGGTAAGACTAAACTAGAGTTTTCTTACTGGGCTTTGATAAATTTGATTTGAGAACCATTTCTCATTTATGGGTATTTTAGTTGAGCCCATTACTTTAATCTTGATGGATATTTTTTAAAATTCTGTGCAGTTTTATGTGCCTGAGCAGGTACCTAGTTTCTTACTTGAGCATTTGTTTTTACTGGATTGAGAACCCTGTGAAGGATATGTAGTAGGCTGCATTCCCAGCCAGTGTTGTCTCCTGGAAGAGTTTCCAGTAGGGTTATCAGGGTGAAATGATTTACAGAAGCCAAGAATTTGGTCATTTATGCTTGCCAATGAGAAAACAATCTAAAGAAAGCTGCAAGTGGTAGGAATTCACTTAGGGTGTGCTTCAGGTCTTTGGGGTTACTCACAGTGCTCTCATAGGGCTGCTTTGTTAATGAATTAAAACCTGAAACAGAACAAGCAGAACAAATGATAAACCCTGCAAGCCAACCCAAATTGAAGATCTCTATTCAAATGCATGTTTCATGCTGGTTGCCTGCAGATGCCTGTAATTGTCACTGCCCAGCAGTGCTGTTCAGAATGGCAAATCTGCTTAATAAGGTGATATTTCTCTCCTGTACCAGCAAGATTTTCACACGAGCTAGGTCTGGGCTGCAGAAACCACTTGTGCAGTAGATGACAAGAACATTGAGCCTTGCTGTCTGTGTTCATAACAAAATGCAAAACTTGCTTCCGTGACTCAGCTTTCTCTCAGCAAGATTTTCTCCATAGTGAGTCTGTAAGTTAAAAACCAAATTCTGAATATTCAGAGATGCTAATTTTCACCTTAAGGGAGCATTTTGATACCTCCTACTTTGAGCAGCAGAGGTAAAAGGTTCTGGTCTGAATTTCAACACGGTGGCATGGAAATGCAAAATAGGAGATCAAATGCAGGTTGTAGGAGATTAAATGCAGGTTTTCCAAAGCAATAAGGTTTTAGATTAAAAAAAAAACAAACAGGACAATTTTGTTCTTTCAAACCATGGAAAGATACCATATAAATTGTTTTCTAGGTAAAATTTATGGCAACCTCAGCTTTATGAAACTTCAGATTCAATATAATATCTGACACTTGTTTTCAAGTGCTTTGAGGCACAGGTGGGACCATATTCCTCTGTCACTGAACTCCACATGACTCAAAAATCAAAAAGAGCTGAGACTGCTTCTGTTATCTATGGGTCTTTTTCATGCTTTTTCACTGAAACAATAGTAATAAGCTTGAACTCTTGTGAAGACTTTGTAGACTCTTTTTGTTTTCCTTCTAGTCTTTTTCTTATACTGGGGTGTTTTTTATTGATGTTAAAGCGATCATGACTTCTCCTTTCTTTGGGCAAGTATTATTTTGTCATGAAAGTAAGCCTCCTCAAGTACTGTCCTCTTCTGAAATGCCACTTCTCACACCTGACTCACTGTAGATACATGGAGAATTATACTTTTTGGCTGGTTTTGTTAGGAAATGATAGCAAGCACGGGCCATCTTCCCTGAAGTCACATCTAGAGATGAGATCAAGGTCACTGTCACAGTCTCCATAGATGCCACAGTGTGTGGTGCATCCCAAGGATGTCTCTGTCAGGGGGGTGCATTGTGAGTTGTTTTAACATGCTGCTGTAATACAGCATGAGAGTATCCATCAAGTCCTGTTGCTCAGGGGAAAATGCTGCTGCCCCTTCCCTGTACCTTGTGAAGGCTTTGAGACTGTTGATATTGTAAAATGCATGTTCTCTTTGAGTTTTTTATTTTCTTCTTTGTGTTCTTTTGAACTCCTGCCATGCAAACCAGTCCTTAAGCAAGTGAAAATTACATAAGCCTCAAGCTGATTCAAGAGAGTATGCATTTAAAACTTGTGCCTTGCACTGTTCCATCCCACTTCCTGACTGTGTTCAGCAGGGAGTGTGCCAAGCCTGGCTGTGTCCTGCTTCCTTGAAGAATTTCTCATTCTTCTCGGTGGAACCTCACATCTGTCTTGGCAGTTGCAGCCACTCCTCCTTCCAGCCGTGCTCTGTGGCCCCAGGGGGTACCGGCAGTGAGGAGCTGAGGATACAATGACAGGGCTTTTCTGGAGGAAAACACGCGTTTCTGGGCTGCTTCCAGATTTTCCTCTCTATGGGATGGCATTAGGAACCGTGTCATTGCTGCAAATCTTGCTTAGGTTCCAACCCCTGTGTAATACCCAGTTCAGAGAGCTCTGTCTCATCAGCCCCTCCTTGCTATGAGCTTAGGTCAGTGTCCGTTGTTATTTTTTCGGTATCGAGACCAGCCAGGTCTGTGGTCATCAGAGAGAGGTGGGTGCACATAGAGCTTTTCTACAGAATGCAGTCAGTGTTAATTTTAGACACTAAAATTGTGTTTCTTGGCATTCAGGCAGCTGAATTGGAAATGCAAAATGAAGAGAACCCTTCGTGTGTGTAATGAAAAATCATCTGTCTGGAAATCTCTCTCTGGTGTTAACTCAGTCAGGGTGGAACTTCTCTTTGTCACTTGACTTGTTACCATGTTAAATATCTCTGTTATGCCATCCAGACTGATATTCTTGAAGCTAGTGTGACAAGGATTGGTCATTGCAATGCTTCAGAATGTTGAGTTCTTCTAAAGGTACTTGAATATTGTTTGGTCTTTATGCATTCTTCAGGCCTTTTTCAGATAGAAACTGGGTAGATGGGGCTATGTTATTTTAGTCTAACACTGATTAGTGAGCCTGGGTGAAAGGCAAGTCTCCTGCCCAAAAAGCTTTGAGCAGGACTTTGTGCAGCTGCAGGTAAGGGTCAAGGCTGGGTTTAAGTCTTCCCAGAAGAGAAGGGATTGATAAACAGCTATCTGTGAGTAGAAGGTGAGGAGAGAAAAATCTGTCCAGAGTAGAATCTATCCAGACAGCAGGAATCTTGCTGTGAATCCTAACTATGAATGAGACAGCTCACACACACTTGCTCTTCATGCTGAATTTTGTAGTTTTGATGAATAGAATGCCTTGGAGTTCCTTTTCCCCTTGTCTGATTTTTCTCATTTATTTTTACTTATGCTTGTTGTGGCACTAGAAAGGTCTGTCTTCAGGATTTAATCAAATTTATGGGCATTATATAGGTGCTGTTAAGTACATCGTATTTTTTAGCTTTTTTGAAAATCTGGAGGGAAAGACCAATTTGCTTACAATGTAGGATTTTAAAAAAAACCAACCAGGAATGGAAGAATTAAGCTCTCAGTTGGGAAATGACCATGTTAGTGCCACACCTTATCTTAATCCCATTTCCAAATGGACCTGGGTGCAAACAAACTTCACTGAAGTTACATTGGCATGGTCTAGATCTTCATGCACTTAATATTTTTCAAAATCTGCTTTGAGCCTTTGTTTATGGCTTATGATCATTATTTTATGCTTGTCACACCATCCAGTTGTTTTACTAGGGAGTTTTGACAGCAGTTGTACTGCTGGCTTGAAAAATTACTCTTTCCTTAAGTACAAGATAGAGCATAAGTATATCCTTGGGTGATCTGCCTGTTGGGTTTAACGTTTGATTTATTACTTTCTCTTCACAAATTTAAGAGCTTGATTATTCTATGGGGTTTTTTAATGCAAAGAAATGCAAAATGCTTCTAACAGTTTGCAGAAGTCCACAGTCCAGAAAAATGCTTTGTTTTCCTCTCATGTTGCAGGGAGGAAGTTTTGCTTTAAAAACATTCCTATAATAGATATAATATAGATTGTATCAGTATATTTTTGTACAGCAGTTAAGATGTGCATGTTCTTGGTCCTTTGAAAAACTAATACAAGATAGAATTTGTTTAATCATGTTCCCCGGCTTTTTAGGGGTAGAAGGAAGAAGGTTATAAATTTTCTTCAATATTTTGGTTGTTAGCATTTGTCTACTTGGAGTTAGCTTTTATCTTTAGGTAACAGGAATTTCTAAACTACAATAAATTCTTTGCTTTTATGTCTTGCTTTTCAGTGCCCCTGCCTACTTTATTTGATCCTCTGAGTTCAGGAACCTGTGAGATTTAGAGACCTTCAAATGCACATGGCAGGTAGTGAGAGAAGGAAAAAATATATTATTGCAAAATTTTGAGCTGTTGGTTTCCAAACCTCTGGCTGGCAGTGATTTCTCTGCTCCCCATTAGTTTAAGTGTATGATACTTCACAAGGTGATGCCTCAATTAAATCTCTGATTTTCTTTTCTTCTAGATTATACCTTCAGTAAAGCTCTGTGGAAGATAGATGTGTGTGCTGCAATGGTGACATAAATATTTCAGAAGACTGGAACAAATTGTTGAGAATCTGTGTTTGATTTTCATGCTGCTGAGAGCTATCTAAGGCAAGTAAACACCATGAGTTTTATCCTGAAACTTCACAGACATTTTCAAAGAACAGTAATTTTGCTGGCCACTTTTTGTATGGTGAGCATAGTTATTTCTGCCTACTACTTGTATAATGGCTACAAACAGGAAAATGAACTTCCTGAAACCTCTTCAGAAGTGGAATGTGGTGATCCTCAAGCATTGCCATACAAGCTGATGGAGATGAAGACCACGAAGCCTGTGGATCCCCTGAGGACAGACCTTGTAGTGCTGGTGTTTGTGGAAAGCCAGTACTCAACGTTAGGCCAAGATATAATAACCATTCTGGAATCGAGCAGGTTTCAGTTTCACATTGAGATTGCATCTGGGAAAGGTGACCTCCCAGTGCTTATAGACAGAAACAAAGGCAAATACGCTCTCATAGTGTATGAAAATATTCTAAAGTACGTGAACATGGACTCCTGGAACAGAGGCCTTCTAGATAAGTACTGTATAGAATATGGTGTAGGTGTGATTGGATTTCACAGAGGCACTGAGAACAGCTTGCAGAGCTTTCAGTTGAAGGGTTTTCCTTTCCATGTCCACAGCAATCTGGGTATTAAGGACTGTTGCATTAACCCTCATTCCCCACTCCTCCATGTGACTAAACCTTCTAAGCTTGAGAAAGGGCCCTTGCTTGGAAATGACTGGGCCGTTTTCCAGATTAATCACACAGCTTATCAACCAGTGATATTTGCAAAAGTAAAGACACCAGAAAACCTTTCTCCACCTGCTGCTATAAGTGCTCTCTATGCCACGGTAATTCATGACTTGGGGCTCCACGATGGGATTCAACGAGTCCTTTTCGGCAATAACTTGAATTTTTGGCTGCACAAGCTGATTTTCATAGATGCCATCTCTTTCCTGTCTGGAAAGAAGCTCACACTGTCCTTGGATAGGTACATTCTGGTTGACATAGATGATATCTTCGTTGGCAAGGATGGAACAAGGATGAACACCAACGATGTACAGGTAAAGTATGTGCACAAGTTCATGGTCATTACAGCAAAGTGATTTTTTTATCTGAAAGTCTAGAGTTGTTCATAGTTGGAACTTCAGGGCTCCACCCAGGAGCTGTTCATATTTAATGCACATGTTGAGAGTCTTAGAAGCAGGAGGTAAATGTGGTGAGCAGCAGTAAATGTCAGCATAAACTTTGAAGGGTGGGCTGGGTTTATTGGCTGTTGGAAATAGATTTGGATGTCAGGATTTGCTTGCAGCGTTTCACTGCTCTCATCTCTGTTTTATGGCACTTGCTTGCCAGGAGGGTTTGTGTTAATATTGGTCTTAAAAGCTCATTCTGTCACTATATGACTCGACAATTTCCATTTTAATGTTTAGAGTTGTGCATTACTGAAGGTCCTTTTCCTCTCTGTTGTGCTGTTCAAGTGAGGTGATAGCTGTTGGTCAGTAGCACTAACATCTTACCTTTATTTCTTCCTGTAAGTATTTCTTCTGTGCTTTTTGGGAGGAGTGTTGTCCCAAAGCAGGTAGTAGGTCACCTTTCTCAGCTTGATCTAGAAGCTAAAAATCTATAACATACTGATTGTTGCCCTGTTTGTGCTAAAAATAAAGGAGAATGTTTTCTTAGAGCTTTGTTAGTGGAATGGGGAACTGCAAGAAGGAAAGGCAAGGACAGCACTGCATGCAGTGGGTTATTTTTGTTTCATTTTTAATGGAATTTCTGGGTTTTTTCTGTGTTAATATATTTGTCAAGCTACAGCAACTCTGCATACAGCGCTTCCTTAAACGAAAGGTTTGACCCTGCAGTTCAACTTTTAGTTTGCTTTAAAACTGCAGCTCTTTTCCAAAACATTCTCTGTACATGCAATTATAAATGAGATTTTCCTCCGTGTTAAGTAGGTGTTTTCCTTAGGCAAACAAATCACATGGGAGAGAGCAGAAATAAAGGTGAAGCTTCCTAAATGGTTTTCCTGTGGAGAACACGATGGCAGTGTTTGAGTTAGGTGAATGAGCATACATGGAGAATCTCCTAAATGCAAACTCAGATGGCAGGAAAAAAGCCAGGTGTGATGACCATCACTGGCAGTTGTGTTGTTCTGCAGAAGCAGCACTTCCTGGTAATAACGTGGGTGAAATAAAGCCTGAAGAAATCCATCACTGTGTTGTGCAGTAACAATCAAGAGACAGCATGCTTTGTATTGTTTCTCTTTGCAAGTGACACCTTAGGGTTGTCATTTTAAAGTGAGTTGGGATGTTTAATTGCCAGAGTGATATACCAGAAACAGGAGACTATTGAGACAAATTTGATTACAGCAGACACACAAGGATAAACCATATTGTTTGGGGAAAATAATTTGCAGTATGTCACAAAGTAATCTTCCCAAAATAAAATGTCATATCAAATAGAAGTAATATCAAAGTGGAAATAACTTTTAAGTAGGATAATTTCATTTACACAGAACTGTGTTCTGAAACAATGGAATCTGAAAAAAGTGTTCCCTTCTGATTCTTCATCTACTTATAGTTAAAATGTTGTATTAAACATGTTGTTAGGGCTGTCAGATGCAATGCATCTTCATTACTATTAATATCAAAGGAGTTATCCTCTGTGGCACAATTGACGTGGAAGGAATGAAACAAAATCAATTTGCAGTAGTTGGAAATATGTTATTGTAAAGTGTATTTACAGATAAATGACATCTCATTATACAGGAGTTTTACTGAGTTCTGCTGCAGTGACTGTGACAGAGAATTGGGCTCTGCAAGTGTGAAAAGAGGTTCTGAATGTAGACTTGGTATCATTTCAGTACTCAACATTAGCTCATTTCCACTAAGCTTGCATTTTAACTGCTGCCACTATGGAATTGGGGAGGATGCTCCTTTGTGATTTCATTTTGTTTGACATATCTCCTTGTTCATATTTTCTGGATGTACTCACAGCTGCCAGGGCGGTGAGCTGGAGGAGAGTAACGGGAATGTTTCTACCAGTATTCTATTAATACAAATTATCTGAAACTTCAGCAATCTCCCAAGAGCCAGAAGACCTAGAATTGGTTGTGACTGCCCTGTGGGATCAGACAGAGTTCACAAACTGGAAGGTTAATGCAGAATCAGTAGCAAAAATCAAGTGGTCATCTGCTCCAAACCCCCTGCTCAAGCTGGGCCATGGCCAGGTGCCTTTTGACTGTCTCCAAGGAGAGAGATCCTGACTCTAACATCGTGGTTTGAAAGAAATTTCTTCTTTACATATCCAGATTAGATTTGCAAAGTGGCCAGAATAGTTAATATTTGGGGGTTTAACCCATTAAGCCTTAACTTCCCTCTCCTTTAAAGTGTCTAAACTGGAGTTAAGTACTTAGAAAAATTACTATTTTAAGGTTTAGTGGTAATTTTTTATCAGTATTACATATTGACCTCAGAAGAGGTCAAATTAAAAGCAGGCTCTCTAAAATGAGTGTCTTCTATACCTCCAAAGAGGCAAAGTGATGGTACTTCAGCTTGAGTACCTATATTGTCAGGAACATGAGTGTAAAGAGCCCTTCTGAAAATCTTCTACAAATATAGTTTATCCTGTTGTAAATGCTTTGTTTTGTTAAACAAAGCTTAAGCAGCTTAAGTTTATTCTAGTTTCACCACAGCTTCTTCAATTAAAAAAAAGATAGCCCAACAATTTGAAACAGTGGTTCAGATTTTTAGAGTAAGTACCTGTTAGAGATTTGCCTGTTGCTGTGTAACATCTGGGCTGAGAACATAGTTCTTTAATGTAAGATACTGAGTAGGTGTCACTGTGCATCAACAATAGCCATCCATCCTCATATTTATGTACTTTATCTTCCTCTGGTATAATAGAAATAATGGAAGAGAATGTTTCCATGGTCTAATTGCCTCCCACTTCGAAAATAAGCTTGGTAATAATCAACTCAACATTCATTTTTCAGTAAGTTTTTTTTCTCTCCTATTTTCTGTCAGGCAGGAGGGACCATTAGGCTGTGACAATGTTATATTTTATTTTCCTTGTTTCTTTTAGGAAGACTTAAGAGCCTGTGCAGTGCAAATAATTCATTTAAATGGACATACAGAGAATAATCTATCTAGATATCCAGAGAATAAGTTTATCTTAATAGACCGTGATTGTCCTGGCTGACAGTCTACATATTTCATATCTTTTTTTGTTACAGTTACTCTTGGTGAAATTTTTATTACTATAAAGCATTGAGATTTTTCAAGGGAGAAGCAGATGATAAAAGAGGGGAAATTAAATGTGGGTTATTTCCTGATGACAGTTTGTTCCATACTGGTAGTCTAGGCTGTCTACCTTTCCCTTCATTTCCCCAATATATGCACTTTCTGGAGTTCCTTGAGAGGTAATCACATACTTCAAATGAAAGATTGGAACACTGCCAAATTATTTTTTTCCTAATAATTAGCTGTGGGAGCTCCTTTTGACTGTCTGGTCCTTTATGTGCTTTTCAAAGGAGAATGAATTGAAGTCAGGATGGCAATCTCTTCTCTTCAGGTAAGCCTAACCTATTTTTATACCTGTAGTTATTCTTGATAATCAGCAAGGGAAAAATCTTCCTATTAACCATATCCATTATTGGAGGGGGATGATAGATCCTTATGTGTCATTCTGGTTTGGGAGTTCTTGGGCAGTGCATGTGTTAGTGTCTATGTGCATTGCAGTGGGCAGTACAAGATTCGGGCTGCAGTCTTCCAGCATTAATCACTGGAGAGCTGGAGAAAAGAGCTGTGCCAAACCTTGTTCTGGTATTGGACAGGGTTCAGCCAAAAGGAATCAAGTCTCAGCCCTCCAGTCTCCATGCACAGTGTCTCATCTTGCCTGCATGTTGAGGTTTTTAAGGCAGGCACCTCTAATGGAGCTACTCTAACTTCCCACAGTAGACATAAACATAGAAAAACAGCTCATCTTCAGGCAGGCACTGGTTAAGTGAATTGCACCATAAAAGTATGAGATTGTTGTTCATAAATTGTTTCCAGAGTGACTAAGATCAAATATAAACATTTATATTTGGTCAGATCACTCCTCTTCCATTTACCATAGCCAGTGCTGTCATTTCTTTGTTATTTTCATAGTAACATTGGTTGCCTAACCTTTTGTTTGATATTGTTCTGTTTAATAACAGATTTCCTCACTGAGAGCTAATTATTTATTCACTCTATTAAATTCATCCACATTAGTCTGCACTGCTTAAATTATTGCAGTTGTTTAAAATCCATTAAGTGTTTTTTCGCCCTGTGCAGTGTACATGGAAAGAAACCAGAACTTCCCAAGGCAAAGCAGACCACTTGGCTATAAATTTTGAAATATGGCTGTTGAGTTCTTCTTGCTTAGGAATGACCTAAATATTTGCTTCAGAAGAGAATCTTCCATATATATTGTGTTAAGGCAGAAGGGCTAAAAGGTGCAGAAGGCCTGAGCTGTCAAGACAAAGGATGGTCCCTGTCACAGGAGGAAGTCTCGATCTCCAAGTTAATTGCTGCTTCATCACATAGAGGCTTATCACAAAAGAAATGACAGGTGTCATCAAATGTGTCACCTGCAGAACCACTGAGCCATACATCTTTCCTTCTGGGAGATGCAAAAAAATCTTCTTAATCACATCTTTAAATTCCATAAGAAACCAATGGTTACTTTTCTTCTGCTAAATCATTTTGCATTCCCATTCTGTTAGCTGTAATACCTGTATACCAGTGTGGAATGTGTCCGCTGTATGTGTACATACATTGTTTCCTAATTTGACTTGAAGTTCCTAAGGTATTTCAAAGTGACTTGTTGGAAACAGGAGGTAAAAAGTACATTCAGCTCTTCACAAGTGTCAAGGAGAAGGAAAATTCCTGGCTGGAGTGTGTCTATAGCTGTCTGATGCCCTAGCAAGACCAGTTTACTTGAGCATATTGTGTCAGCTGTAGTAGTGTGGAATATTGCACACTGTGAGACAGTAGAGAATTAGAATTAGATTTCAGAACTAAAGTACAACTTGAAAACA